TTACAGCCAAGCCCCAAAGACATTCAGCCCAATTGCCAGCCAAGTCCCTAGAAAAGACATTCAGCCCATTGCCCAGCCAAGCCCCTACAAAAGACATTCAGCCCAATGCCCAGCCAAGTCCCTACAAAGACATTCAGCCCAATTCCCAGCCAAGTCCCTACAAAAGACATCCTGCCCCATGCCCAGCTAAGCCCCTACAAATGACATTCAGCCAAATTCCCAGCCAAGTCCCTACAAAAGACATTGAGCTCAATGCCCAGCCAAGTCCCTACAAAAGACATTCAGCCCAATTCGCTGCCAAGTCCCTAGAAAAGACATTGAGCTCAATGCCCAGCCAAGCCCCTACAAATGACATTCAGCCCAATCCCCAGCCAAGCCCCTACAGAAGACATCCAGCCCAATCCCCAGTCAAGCCCCTACAAAAGACATCCTGCCCCATGCCCAGCTAAGCCCCTACAAATGACATTCAGCCCAATGTCCAGCCAAGTCCCTACAAAAGACATTCAGCCCAATTCGCTGCCAAGTCCCTAGAAAAGACATTGAGCTCAATGCCCAGCCAAGCCCCTACAAATGACATTCAGCCCAATGCCCAGCCGAGTCCCTACAAAATACATTCAGCCCAATTCCCAGCCAAGTCCCTACAAAAGACATCCTGCCCAATACCCAGCTAAGTCCCTACAAAGACATTTGGCCCAATGACCAGCCAAGTCCTACAAAAGACATCCTGCCCCATGCCCAGGTAAGCCCGTACAAAAGACATTCAGCCCAATGCCCAGCCAAGCCCCTACAAAAGACATTCAGCCCAATTTCCAGCCAAGTCCCTACAAAAGACATTCAGCCCAATTCACAGCCAAGTTCCTACAAAAGACATTCAGCCCAATTCCCAGCCAAGCCATTACAAAATATATTCAGCCCAATGCACATCCAAGCTATTATTTATTTATTTATTTAGGCATTTTTTATATAGCGCTTACCTTAAAGCTCTAAGCACTTTACAATTATTAAAAACATGTAAACTTAGTAAAATAAAAATGAGACACTAGGATAGTAACTACTATATTATAGAAACAATTAAAATGGCTATAAAACGATGACACTTTGGCACGTTTTGGCCTATACTACAGGATGAACCCGAGATAGAAAATGAGGCAGGGCAAGGAGGGTGCATCACAGGTCATAGGCGGACCTAAACAGATAGGTTTTAAAGGACTTTTTAAAAGTGGACGAGGTTTCACAATGACGGATGCGGAAGGGGAGCTGGTTCCAGAACGTGGGCACAGAAGTAGAAGGAGCGTTCACCGATGGTCTTAGTTTTGGTTCTTGGGATTGAGAGGGTTCTATTGTTAATGGAAGAGCGTAGATTTCTTGTGGGGATGTAAGGAAGCAACAGTTCAGAGAGATAGACATGAAAGTGAGGGTCAGTGAACGAGTTGAAACATAGATTGGCAGACTTGTACTTGATGCGAGAGGATATTGGAAGCCATTGGAGTTGTCCCATGTGTGGTTGAATGTGGTCGTGTTTCTTTGATTTAAAAATGAGTCTGCATGCTGAGTTCTGTGCCTTCTGAAGTTTGTCTATGTGGTGTTGAGGAATGCCTGCGAGAAGAGTGTTACAGTAGTCAAATTTTGAAAGAATGAGTGAAGAGACGAGAGTTTTTGTGGCATCAAAGGAGAGGAGGTGTCTAATGGTACTGATTTTTCTAATTTCGTTATATGCTGATCTACATATATTCGTGACATGTTTGTCCATGGAGAGTGTGTCTGTAAGCGTGACTCCAAGGTTTCTGGCAGAGGAAGAGACTGTGATATCAGAGTTGCCATTAGATATAGAAGAAGGAGCGGATGGAGGGAAAAGTTTGTTTTGAGAGTGGATGAGAAGGATTTCCGTTTTATCATCATTTAGCTTCAGTTTGTTGCAAGTCATCCAACGCTTTACATCGTCCACGCACTCCTGTATGCGAAGGATTGCGGCATCAAGTTGATCAGGAAAGCAAGAGTCACTGATTTGAGTGTCATCAGCAAAGGATTGACTGTAAACTGAGTGGTGGCTAATGAGAGAGGATAGAGGTTTAGTGTAGAGGATGAAAAGGACCGGCCCAAGGACCGATCCTTGAGGAACTCCAATAGACAGAGCTGAAGGTTTGGAAGAGTGGCTGGAAATAGAGACTGTTTGAGTTCTGTCAGAAAGATATGATTGAAACCAGTTTAAAGCTGAGCGAGTAAGTCCGAAAGAAAAATGAAGGCGGTCAAGAAGAATCTGGTGGTCAATGGTATCAAATGCAGCAGAGAGATGTAACAGAGTGAGAATAGAGAGTTTGCCATCGTCCATCACGCGTAGGAGGTCGCTCATGACTCCGACCAGTGCTGTTTCTGTGCTATGACCAAGTCGGTAGGCGGACTGAGAGGAAGGATAGAGATTGCGAGAATGAAGATAGCCAGAAAGCTGAGAGAGTATGAGTTTTTCTATGATTTTTAGAGAAAGGAGAGGTCGCTGACAAAAGACATTCAGCCCAAAGCCCAGCCAAGCCCACACAAAAGACAATCAGCCCAATTTCCAGCCAAGCCCTTACAAAAGACATTCAGCCCAATTCACAGCCAAGCCCCTACAAAAGAAATTCAGCACAATTCCCAGCCAAGCCATTACAAAAGACATTCAGCCCAAAGCCCAGCCAAGCCCATACAAAAGACATCAAAGAATAATGAAAATATAATAAATAAAGCATTTTCGTCAAAAGTGTGTCACTTACGAATGTTACGGAACATTTCAATCGGCTTTGAATCGTGGTGAAAACTGTGTTTATCTGACCCAAGTATACCTCTTTTCTGACGCATCAGCCTTGAAAGTTTAACAAAGCACGCACTTGGATTGTCTAGATATGTGGAACTTGGTGTATGACCAGTTATTATTTTATGAAATTCTGTTAGACTGAGCAGTGTGTGCTATATAAATATGCAATTTTTCAATTTGTTTTAACCCAATGAGATGGGTCCGCACCAACACCACCCCGCACCTCCCTAGTTACTCCAATGAGAGTTTGGTGCTAGGGGAAGAAATTCATTTTTACTCTCCTTATCCCCCTTAACCTCTAAAACCCATTATTTTCATACAATAAAAGGCCATTAGATGCCCCCGCTAGTCTGGCGACCGGGGACATATGCCACCTATGCCCACCTAAGCTACGCCTCTTTCCACTGGCACTGCCCACACACCCCGAAATCTGCCCCCCCCCCCAACCACCCACGAGTAAATTGTCTGAAACAATGCTCACCATCTAACCCAGTAATTTCATACAATAAAAGGCCATTAGATGCCCCCGCTAGTCTGGCGCCCGGGGACATATGCCACCTATGCCCACCTAAGCTACGCCTCTTTCCACTGGCACTGCCCACACACCCCGAAATCTGCCCCCCCCCCCCAACCACCCACGAGTAAATTGTCTGAAACAATGCTCACCATCTTTCTTATCTACGTCATGTCCCCCGTGATGTATGACGCTTGCAGTAGTGGCGCTATTTTTAATAGTGCCCGCAAGTGTCTCTGCCATGAAGGGAGGTGACAGAATGGCCCATTCGGGAGGCACGATTTAACAACAAACAAGGGGTAGGTTTGCACATCAACAAAAGTAAAAAGATACACTTTTTAAATTCTAATAACACCAAGGAAACTCACGACATGTTGTTGTTTCTTATCATGCGTAAACAAACGACAGTCTAACGTCCGGAATTGCCCTATTGAGATTAGAGGATATTAAATCGCAACACATTTGCATCCGGCTGACGTGCCATCAATCACAAGAAAAAGACCAACTCATTTCGATTAGAATCACGTGACACTACGTCACAGTGAATCCAAGATTGACCCAATTTTATTCAAATGTTACACAAGCGTAGCGAGAGGGTGGCAAGACGTGGCACGTGCCATGGATGCCACTGCCAATGAAAAAAAAAAAAAATATATAAGAAAATAAAATAATAAATAGAGGGGAAAAAAGAAAGGTGAAAAAGGGGTTGGGAGTGGGGGAAAATTTGGTGAGCTTGAAAAAAAACACGATATTTACTTTATCCTTTAAAACAGGCCTGCACAACATAGGCCTAGGGCCCGCGGGCCGCATGCGGCCAACCAGTACCAACTTTGTGGCCCGCGACGTAACGAAATATTATTTATTCTTATTATTTTCTTAATAGCTTTCCCACTGTCCTATTTTCTATGGCCCGCACAAGACCTGCCCTATTTTCTTTTGGCCCGCACAAGGTTTTCATAAAGTATTACGGCGGTTTTGAGTTGTTGTGCAGGCCTGCTTTAAAATATCGATTTTCTTATAATTTAATTTACCTGAATTTAATATGCCAAAATTAGGCACTATTAAATGGTTTCTCTGTTGTAGTTGTATACTATTTGTTAAATATTAATTAATTATGTTTCTCATGCTTGAAATGGACAAAATTAGTGTGTTTTTTTTCCGTGTGTACCATAATAATATTAGCCAATATCCTATATTATAATATTATACTATATTATGTCCTCGTCATACCTCTGACAAATACATATTTAAGGTATGTATTTATGTTCTATTAACACATCCGGTTTAATTAAAAATTTAAATGGGTCTAAGAAGAAGCAAAGCTGAAATTGGAGGAGGTGTTTGTTTTTTTTTAAAGTTTAGGAAGCCACCCCTCGCTTTGTTTTTAATTTTATAAATGACAATGAAAAGTGATATTTTGCTGTTTTCTACGTTAACTTTCTTTAATGTCTAAGAATTTACGGTAATTATCGGCAATTTGTTGACTTGTCCCATATAACTTTATTACAAGTTACAATACAAGCTAACTCAAATATTTTACTGCTATTTTTCTTAATGACATCGAAACGGTTAAACATTAGGCTAATTTTGCAACATTTTTTATAATTTTTAAATGTTTAAATGTAGCTTTCAAGAGAAGTTAAATAACACAATCTTAAAATAGTACATTGAGAAATATCGTGACCCTAACTTTACGTCACAGGTCACATGATCAGTAATGGTGGTCGTCTTTAGAATTCGTCTTGTTTGTTGACACCAATAACAATTTAAAAAAAAACCCAATAAACTCACCATCATCAGACCTTACTTTTCAAATTTTATGCTATTAGGATAAAATATTTTTATCGGATTTATGTTTCAAAAGGTATCATACGAACACTGCTTGCTTATTATCTAAATTCTATTTCGTTTTATGATACTTTGTTGTATGTTTTGTGATTTGTGACAATTTTAAAAATCCAGTGAATTTCTGAGTGTTAAAACCATAGGCATAGGCCAGATCAATCATATTCAGTCAGTCATAGACATGGTATAGTCATTTTATTTCACACTGATACTATTCTTTAACTTTTGTTATTTTTAACCTGAAAGTAACTAAGATACACTTTTTTGTTTTTGTCTGTAGAACATTGAATATTATTGAACATTGTCATTGTGTTGTCACAGTCACTAGACTGTTGTAGTCGTGTAGTCCAGTTAGTACTGTAAGTAAGTAGATTAGATGATTAGACATTATCAACTGTACTACTGTACTGTACACTGTAACTTTAGGCTACAATGTAGGCTTAAGAAGTTCTGTGTGACAATTATCCAATTGATTGTGAGCCCTTAATATAATATATAGAATTATAGAAGAAGTCTGTAAGTGTAAGTGTAGGGCCTAATTAATAGCCTTATGTTACATTATGTATTTATCAGGAATACAAATACAATGGTTACATAATAGAAACTAGGATTAGTGGGATTAGAAATTGAATAATTTAAGTTGATCCTCTAAACTGAAGTCTAAACTAAATATTGCAGCATTACAAAAAAGTACGCTTCTTGTTCTAGTAATATCATAACCTACACTAAAGATGGTCCTGTCATGTGTCTTTTTTTTAACTGGGATCTTTCCCGCTTAGCAACCTTGTCAGAGCTGGTTTTGAGGTATGTTCCAGTTTCAATCTCAGTTTGATAAAAATAATTTGCCCAGTGTATGTTAGATAGTCTCTTAGTTTTACACCATTAATATCAGAACTTGGTTGGTATGAAATTCTATATTTAATTTAACCAAGACAAAATTCTATGATGAAAAACTGAGTGTACGACTGTTTTTAGGCTGTGCAGCGTGCATACACATGTAAATTTTTTGCCTCACTTCCTTTTTGGGTAATCTTTGACCATAGTAAATTCCCCATTTCCAAGCTGTTCAGAGTTTTGTGTTTTTTAAGTAAATTCAAATGGAATATATAAATGTGTAAATAGTCTTTCGCACTTCAAAATTCAACTTCAAGACGCATGATGCGTCTTTGCGGTGTGATGCCCAGTGGCATACTTTGACTAAATGCTGCAGTGACAAACTCCTGAAATTGTGCCACCTGAATCAAATGTGCCTGAAATGTGAATGAAATGTGAATGACCCCCACTCCTATATATGCCACTGGTGATACTCAGATTGTAGGTTTTTCAACCCATAAAAGTATGGTAAGCCTAACTATTGGCTTGATAGTTGCAATAAGTAGGCCTATACTATAAATTTGAAGAACAAACTTTTCTAATATTATTATGTATTTAGTAGCATTTTACTATTCATACGAGTAAATCCTACAATTACTACAAAGCCTACAATTACTACAAAGAGAAGTCTATAGTATTGTAATAATTATATTCCTTAATAATATTATGAATAAAATGGTTGTTCATTTCTGGAGGACGAATCACCTAATTGCAGACATCACAATAAAAAATAAAAGAGTATAGAGCAAATAGCAACATCTAAGCACCTACGTGTCACCACCTAGGTGTCGCCATTTATAATAAGCTAACACGGGATGAACACTGTCAAACTCTGTATTAAAAAAGTCAACCAAAGACTTTTCTGTCTTAAAAAAACTATACAATTTCGGGGTAAGCAAACAAATTGGTTTGGGAATTCATGATCTGACATCAAACAATTGTTAAATAGACTAACCATGAAAGCTAGTAAAATCACATAAACTAAAAAACAATTTTTGATTGATACATCATCTCTTCATCATAAACACCTAAGAACTCATTGATCAGGGCGATTTCTTTCCCTTAAAGTTAGGAGCAAAAGATGCAAATAAATTTTTGTTCCCCAGTCGGTAAGAATTTACCAGCTTGCTCCCCCATCTAAATGATCACTAATTAAGTCATTATTGTCACTTAGGGAGTTAATTTTGTATGTGAGGGCTGTTTTTTATGCCAGAGAAATACTTCAGATGTCTCATGTTTAAATTATTTTGTATTTTAGAATGATATCTTGGTTAAAAATATATTTATTTATGTGCTGAAAATTTATTTGGGTCAATAAAAGAATCTTATCTCATGCTAAGGTCTAGGCCTGGGCTTATATTTAAATACAAGAACAAGGCCTTTGCCTAAGTGCATAATGAGCCTTAAAATCATGTCATGACAATAACATTTTGAATCATTAATGCTTGCAAAGTAGGTCAAGTTAAAGGCGATGATTTATTTAAGGATAGTTTTCTCTGGTTATAGAGATGTTATACATTCAAAATGTAACAGATGTCGATGGTACTTTTTATATGTATGACACTATTATTACAAGGCCACCCATAATGATGTCAGGCTATTTGGGACACCCTGCCTCCCCCCTTCAATCATAAATTTGTAACATAATTTAGAGACCCTGACTATAGATTTTTTACCTCTAACCACCAAATGTGTGACATTATTTATGGATGGCCCCTACTCCAACATACTAGCGCAGTAGGACTGATAGAATTAAGATATTGTCAGTGTGGTGGGGGTGTGATGGGCTAAAAAAAGGAGCAGTTGGTGTTTTGGCAGAGGGAGATGGTGTTTTTGGATTTCAAGGAAGAATGTGGGGGAAATGAAATAAATAATATATATAATGATTGATTCTGTTTATAACCAACAGGCTTTTAATCTATAAATATAATGTTAACATTTCTTTAGTTACTAAATAAACAAAAATAAAAACATTTACAACACACACAAACACACCCCCATATTACTATTCTAAAAACTAATTACCATTTTTGTGCACTAGTAGCAGATTGTTTTTTGCTACATATTCATTAAAGGCTGCAAGTTGAATTGACTAGTTGATAATTCTTCCATTTCAGAGACTAGTAATGCTGCATTATTAGCACTGCACTGTTAACAAGCTATGGGAGAAGCAGCAGGGGCTGCAACTGCAGCCAGCGGTGCCCTTCCATCACCACAACTTTCTCAGCTCAATTTAACAAGTAACTGCCAAAACTTAACTTTTTTAGAAGAACACAGCTAACTGTAAATTACCATTACAAAATTTGTTTACCAAGTTTTTCTTGGAGAGGGTGTTGTTGGTAAAAGTCAAACTTTCATAAGTCTCTGTTATAATTTAACAAAACTGCCTTAACACAGTAATTTCTGTTGTTTGTTACTAAAGTAAGCAGAACTTTGTTAACTTAAAATGTTTATTAATTTTTTTAATTGTAAAAATAATCTATTTTTCGACTTTTATAATTTTGAAAATATGAAAGTAAATAAGAGACACTTTCTTTCTTTTTTTTTTTTTTATTGCAGTACTAAAAAAATAATTAACGGCTAATGGGCTAAATGTTAAATTGTGTAGAAATTTAAATAAATCTCTTGCATTGGTTTCCTTGTTTCTCAACTAGTCTCAGCTGCAAAACTTAATACGGCAGGGGGATTATTTTCATCAAAACCTGACCCATATTTAGAGCTTAGTGTGGATGGTCATTCGTCTCGGAAGACTGAAGTTTGTCGCAAAACTCTTGCACCAAAGTGGGATGAACAGTTTACAATGTAAGATTCCGTTACATTAGCTTGCAAAAAAAAAATCTTTATTACATTAGCTTGCTTAAACATGTATCTTAAGATTCTTAATCTCAATAGATGTTAAAATAAAGGTGTTTTATTCTTTTAAAATCTGTTAATTTTATTAAAACATCTGTAACCAAGTTATCCAGCCATAAGAAATTGTTTATTACACTGAATATGAATTTTTTCAAGATATGAATTATTTCTAAATTTCAAAAATAAAATTCAGCTATGAACTGTGTTCATATTTTTTTTTTGTTCTTCAATTTCTTCATCTTTATTAAATTTTTCCAGCCTCGCAACACCATACTCAAAAATAGACTTAAAAGTAATGAGTTCCAACAGTATAAGAACAGACACTGTGATCGGACAGGCTGTTTTGGATCTGCACCCACTATTAGAAAAAGAAAATGGCAAATGTGAGTTAATATGAATTTCATCAGTTAATTTTATTATTTTTATTTTTATCTGTTGTAAAACTATCTCAGTATGTTGTAAAACAATGTTGTCTTAAATTTTCTGAAAAAACATTTATCTTTTACTCCAACACAAATATATTCAAATTGTGTTATTTAAAAAAAAAATTTTTTCACTTCTGCAGTCAAAGATTTAACGAAAACAATAGAGTTGAAATCTGAAGGGAAAGGCAAGGCTGGTGACCTGACAATAACACTGAATGGTATGGATGTAAACATGAGACAGTACCCTAAGGAGGGGAGAAATGGTAAACACTTTTTAAAAAAGTCCTTAGTAGCCCAAACAAATTACAGTATTTGCAAGTGTATAGGATGCCACTGTGTATATGACACAACCCCCCCTTTTTTAGAGACATTTTTGAGGGACAAAAATTTCTACATTTTCGTCGCAAAAGACTCATCACATATTTTAGACATATTTTGAGGGGAAAAAAAGTTTTTCCTATACACTGAAATACTGTAACAAAGTTGTGATCATGCTTGCATTATAAATAGAACCAACCACCACTGACCCTTGTCACATTATGTAGATTATCATATTGTATGAAACTGTATCAAGTTTGTTTTGTTTTGTGAAGAACAAAAATAACTGAGAATGGTATTTCCAAATTTCATTGAACAACTCAAAAATTCTTTTCCACAGGCCCCAGGCCAGTGAGTGGCATGCAGAATGGGTCAGCTGCAGCTGGGTCAGCCAACGGACCATCAGCTGTCACTCCTAAATCAAATCCTAGACCAGGTGAAGGTGGTCGAAGGCCAGCACCAAGAGCACCCGGGGCTCCAAACTCTCAAGGGAGAACTCCACCTCCCGTTCCTCCTCCTCCTGCTAATCCCAGCCCAGCATCCTCTCCTACGTCTGCAGGTTTGTTCAAATTCTGGTTTTTACAATTTTTTGTTTGTTTTATCAGTCTAATTAAAGAATATATTATTTTATTTCTCCTTATTTTTCATGCAACATAAATAATTACAGTACTCGCTCGTTCTAAAACTGACTTCTTTTGGAAATATTTCAGGGGAATAAGTGGGGCGGTCGCCTTTTGAGTGGGTCATAGGAGATTTGGATGGTTTTCTCCAGGACTATTGAATAATGAAATTGTTAGTGTAGATCACCGAGGTCCAGGTCTATCCTACCCTCTATAAGATTTTAATATAATAAAACATACATACTGGAAGTAGATGGCGCCAAGATGGCAAAGAGTAATGTAATAAAAGTAGATTACGTCATATGTGAGGTTGGACTTCTTATTTCATCCTTGATATTCTTTGGTATAGTTTACACTGCCATTTCATTTTTTGGGTTAGCCTTAAGAGCGGCTTGTAGACATTTCAAGCTTTTCCCGTCAAAATGTGGGGTGGTCTTATGAACCAATGGGTGAGTTTCTAAAGTAAGTATTTTGTATATTTTGTCTGCCCGCGTTCTAAAAAAACCCAGATATGTTATCGAAAGATTTGTGGGAAATCAAGTGAAGTATTGCAAAAATGCAAATTAGACCCCAAAAAAACACCTAAAAATTGAATTGAAGAAACTTCTATTGTAGTGTGTTGATAGTTTTTTTTACACTTTTAACATTTCATTTTTGCATTGTGACTAAAATTTTGCTCAACCCGTCAGTAACTTTCTCTACAACTTACAACAACCTCTTATTAACTTGCTCTACAACATATAATGTCTCACATTCAGCACCAACACCTACAACTACTGCTCCAAGGCCCCCCATCAGTACAGACACAAGCACATCAGCTCCAACGACTGGGACACCACCATCCGCAACTGCACCAATATCGACAGAACCTCTACCACCAGGGTAGGTGTTTTCAGAACTGTTTAATCTTACGATTGGCAAACAATGTACAATGTGAGATGTCTTTTAATGATTGTATGCAGAAAACCATCAGAACTACGATTTTAAGAGCCTGGATTGAAAATATATACATTCCTGTAGTTTTTTTCAATTTTAAAAAAAAAAAATTAAGTAAAAGGACATTTTTGGTTTGTAGTTTTAACTCGCATTTCCATTCTACATCCAGATTAAGAAATAGGATTGGTTGGGGACGTTTGCCTGGAAGTCCATAATAGAGCATATATTTATCTCGAATACTGTGTATTTTCACCAATGAATTTGCTAGATAGTACTCAGTAGCGGCTCCCCGTGTGAAATTCTAAAAAGTACACTTTGAAATAGCGAAAACATTAAAAAAAAAAAAAATGAAGGATTGGGTAAAATAACTATAGCATCTATGTACATCCCTAAGCACCATCTAATAACTGCTGTTTTACTCAAGTAGGTTAGCACCAGGACTGAAAGTTGTCACATTGGATTAAAGGTGGAAATAAAATTTTTTAATATTTCGCAACGGCCCTGTGAGGAAGCGGAAGCAATCCATATAGAAAAATGTGCAAACACCCCCCAGACTAGTAAAAGGAAAAATCATTGTGCCCCTTGCCTATGTGAAGTAAATGGGATATTATATTCTAATTCACTATTAAGGTCCATTATAAAGACGAGTTTGGCATCCCATGATTTTGGCGCCTGTTGCTCTTCACCACATTTTTTATTCTCATGGCCATGCCTGAAGAGATTTAGGAGATAGGGCGTTGCGGCGTATATTCTAGGAACTACTGGGCTCGCTGAATCGCCAGCTGTGAAAACCCATGTCACATTTTGTTTACTGTCATATCAGACCTTTCGTAATGTCAGATGCATCAAAGAAGCTGATGTCTGCATTCGTCACACATGGACTACTGCAATGCTCTTATGGTGGGTCTTCCAGCTAAGCTCCTATATAAAATTAAAAAAGCACAGAATAATGCGGCTCGCACTGTTTTTCGAAAACACAAATTCGACCATACTAAAATACTTCTGAGAGAGTTGCATTGGCTGCCGGTCTGCGCTCGCATAGAGTACAAAATTGCAACTCAGTGCTACCGCTGCTTGCATGACCTGGCACCGTCCTATCTCAAAGAGCTGCTGACGCCTTACGTACCCTCTAGACAATTCCGCTTATCTGATAGTGGCAAACTCTCGATACCACGTGTTCGCCTTGAGACTTACGAGGAGCGTACTTTCGTATTTGCTGGCCCAACAATTTGGAACACTTTTCCTGTCGCTTTCAGAAACAGCCAGTCACTGGAGTCTTTCAAAACTGATCTGAAGACATATCTATTTCGCAAACACCTGCTGGGAGGAAGTTGTCTATCTAGCTATTATCTTGTAGATGTGTAAGGGCCTGTGTTGTTTATGGTTGTTAGGTATGAAAGACTTATAATGGGTATTCTCGTATATAGTTTTTTGCAATGTTGTATTTTGTATTTCGATTTGGTAATTATAGATTGTTTTATTTCTCTTTTAATATACTAAACAATGTACCCCACTTTGAGCCTTTGGGGATGAAGCGTGATTTTCAAATAAACTTTATTATTATTATTATTATTATTATTATTATTATTAATATCATAAATATATAAAGATTATTGGATTTTGTTGGGTTTTTTGTGTGGGGGGGAGGGGGGGTTCAAAAGCTCATTTTAACGTAAGCAGGTGGGGGGGGGAGGTCGTCAAAAAAAATAACCCCATTTGGTTCCCAGACTCTTCTTCCTTTCACCCATTTACAGATTGTTAAAGTTATCTGACTATAATATTATTAGCGGGAAATAGGCTTAATGGATATTGATTTTTTTTTTTACCAGCTTTTCCTAAATCATAAATTTCAAATTACTTAGTTGGGTTCTAAATGATTTCATCATTTGTTAATTAAGTCTTATTTCAATAAATTTTATTTTAGCTGATCTAACCCCCAAGTTTGAACCACGTTAAATTTCACCAGTAACTTTATTTTTACCAGTGACTGATTGAGATGATTTGATCTGCACGTTCAACTAAATATTAATTGATATCTATAGCAGATACACATCTGCAAAACAAAGTGACAGTAGATTGCAATACAATCTTTGGTTTTCTACTTGTAGAAGTTAACTTTTTTTACCTCAGTTTAACTTGATCTCACTAGGCACTGCGATGCCTGCAGTTTTTGTATTCATTATATATATATATATATATATATATATATACTGTATGATTATTTATTCACTATTAAGATATTAAATAGTACAGTTATGTTACGATATTGTAGGATTTTAGGAGTTTGATGATAAACAGGTCTGTGTTTATTATCTTGCGGCTGACATATGGTGAGGCCAGGTGGCTTTGTTGTGAATATTCAGGTGGCTTTGTTGTGAATGTTCTGTTAAAAGATGATTCTCTACAAGCTAGGAAGAGTCATTTAACAGCTTTTTCAAGGATGATACTCACTATAACATCATGACATTTAGCGGTTATTTTCCACAGAGTAAAACTCAGTCAGAAATCATATGGCTGATTAATACAAATAATGAATTATAATGGACTGGACTATATCATCAACCATTTTGGCTAGCATGTAAAATTAGGGACTGATATCTACAGTCTGCAATCATTTATAGAATTTGAGTAATATAATCATATTCAGTGGATTGTTACCGACTATTTCCCATTGATATGCTCTTTGAATTGGAGCTGTATTACTATACATTTATTCAAGTATTCTATGTAAAGTTAATAACATAGCTAACCCAGACCCAATGAGAAAAAAAAAGTTTACAAGGAAATGTCATGAATGTCAGAAGCTACGTTGGTGTCAGAAGGTGACACTCACCAATTAGAATATTATTTGTTGATCAGACACATTCTTCCAATGAGAATGCTTTTTCTCATTAAAGACCTGCTTCACTTTTCTCTAGATTTTATGATGTTTAAATATTGCATAACAATGATTATAGATAGTAACAGTTAGTTGTACTAGAAAGATAAAGTTTAGGCTTTGTTTGATAGAAAGTACTAGCTATCTGTACGTAAATCACTCATACTTTTCTCATTTTAACTTCTTACCTGCAGTTGGGAAATGAGAACTGATCAACATGGTCGGGCATATTATGTGGATCATAATACAAGAACAACTACTTGGGAGAGACCACAGCCTTTGCCTAGAGGGTAAGGATTATGGCTATTCATTCTTTGTGTTTATGTTTGGAATCTTTAAAATGATAGTCTGAATCCACTACAACGGAACAAAAGATTATTTAAAAAGTAATTACCCTGTACTCAATTAAACAAATTTGTTGTTTGTTCTTAACAATAATTGTGCCATGCTAGAATTGCCCCACTGTTTGCTAGTGCACTGAATGCTTCTTAGCAAAACTGCAAGCATTTTCTCACTAAATGGTTCTTAAGCAAACAACTTTTTTTTTTGTGGACTAAATGTTTATGACGGTACACGTATCAATTTTTCCTGTAGGACATTCTTTTAAAGTAATGGATTTCAAATTTAACATGTTCCCTTTAAAAAAAAACAGATGGGAAAGGCGCACTGATACCCGTGGACGTGTGTACTACGTGGATCACAACACACGAACCACCACCTGGCAACGCCCAAACACAGAGTCACTGAACAACTATGCCAACTGGCAGGAATGGCGGGGCAATCGTACACTTGAACAGTTCGGACAGAGATTCCTCTATCCTCAGCAACCGGCTCCTACACAGGAGAATGATCCATTGGGGCCTTTACCTGAGGGTTGGGGTAGGTACACCACTGGCTTATTATTTAGTCTTAGGGTTAGTACAATTTTGTATTTTTACTAATATTTTGAAGGATTTGAAGCCATTCAATTTAAATTTGGAGTTTTTCAATAGGTCATATAATTTTTAAAAAAAACTTTATTCTTAAAAAACAGCAGCAAAGCATTAGAAAGCTGGAGGGCTGATTTCTCCCCAGCTGTGTTTTAAAATTTACTGAACACTAGCACATATAACCATATATGTTCCAGGCCGTCTGGCGCCACTGGGTCAGAGGTGACTGCCACAGTTTCTCATCCATTTTGTTTATTGGTGGATCACTTTAACATTTGTTTACCTCTGTGGGGGCCCCTGCCCTGTTGTTTGTATAAAAAATGCTCTCTTTACAAATGTGTTAAAGTTTTTGTCACACTCAAAAATATGCTGTGGTCCCCTGGGGGGGCCATATGGCTTTTCATTATTTAGCTCTGAAATTTTTATTTGCCTTTAAATTTAACAATTGTAAAAATTATTTAGTTTTGAAAATGTGTTTTCAGAAAAGAGAGTGGATGGTAACAACAGAGTGTATTTTGTAAATCATAGAAACAGAACGACACAGTGGGAGGACCCCAGAACACAAGGGTAATTTTAGAGAATTGATTTAGTGGATTCATTCATTCATTAATCTTTTAATATTTTATTACATCTATGTCTCAGACCCGAGACTCTAGATAAGGGGTTCTAAACTTTTTCTGTGGCATCACACTTTCTCTTGATTTCAAAATACTTCCCTTTCCCCCGTCTTAATATGAAAATATATTTTCCACACCCCTCATGATAAAAAAATTCTAAGAGGTGCAGGCCCCCCTGGTGGAGAACCTCTATTCAAGTTGATTGATTTAGTGTTTATTGTATTCAACAATTGTTCAAATGCAAAATAACATTCTACTTTTAAATGGCATTCTGCAATGCATACAAATAACTTCTCCCCACTTACCCACCCACCCCATTTTAAAAAAAAAGAATTATGCAAGAAGACCCACTGCCTGAGGGCTGGGAGATGAGATACACAGCCGATGGTGTCAGATACTTTGTAGACCACAACACTAGGACCACAACATTCCAAGATCCAAGAGGTGGACCTCAGAAAGGGTAAACAATATTTGGGATAGATGCTTTTGTATGATCTTGTGTATTCATTCTTTGTTGGTCATCCTTAACTGTCTCCAAGGTTAATATTTTTTTAATTCTTAGCAAAAAAATGAAGACGGGGCCCTTAGTAGATAAAAAAATAAGAGTGTCCTTTAATTAAATTGCATTTTTCAAAAAGACAATGACTATTGAATCTGTATGGAATGTTTTGTTTAACTTAACAGACATTTTTGAAAAAATTAATTGTGGCAAGTCATTATGCTGATGACATCAGTTGCTAAATGCTGCTGCTTTACTTGGCTACTTTGATTGACATATTATGAACTTCATCCAGTATTTCATCAATAATAAACTTCTGGATTTTATTCTGTTCTTCAGTCCAAAAGGTGCCTACGGGGTCCCCATACAATACGAGCGAAGTTTTAGGTGGAAACTTGGACAGTTCCGTTATCTATGTCACTCTAATGCTCTTCCCGGTCATGTAAAGATAACTGTATCAAGAGACAACTTGTTTGAAGATTCATTTGCTCAGGTAAGCATGATCTTTTTTGGTTTAAAAAGATCTGGGCTCTAAAAAAATAATTTCTACTGTTTTTTTTTTTTCCTTCTTAAAAAAGAGAAGGGTTGGATTTATTTTACATTGCAAAATTAAAACAATAATCTGAAAGATTCCTTCATTAATTTGACAAGTTGATCTACAGCAGAGGTCTGACAACTCCAGCAAAGATTCCTTCATTAATTTGACAAGTTGATCTACAGCAGAGGTCTGACAACTCCAGCAAAGATTCCTTCATTAATTTGACAAGTTCATCTACAGCAGAGGTCTGACAACTCCAGCAAAGATTCCTTCATTAATTTGACAAGTTCATCTACAGCAGAAGTCTGACAACTCCAGCAAAGATTCCTTCATTAATTTGACAAGTTGATCTACAGCAGAGGTCTGACAACTCCAGCAAAGATTCCTTCATTAATTTGACAAGTTGATCTACAGCAGAGCTCTGACAACTCCAGCAACGATTCCTTCATTAATTTGACAAGTTGATCTACAGCAGAGCTCTGACAACTCCAGCCTTTAGTACAGACACGATCTATCTTGTATTCCAGTTCTGCCCAACGCCCACCTAGTTTTTTATGATTGCATCAAGCGTAAATGAGTTGTTGCCATTTTTTTTCCCTTGTTACCGCTGCCCGCAACTCAAGCAGTGGCCCATTTTTATTTTTAGAATTAATGTCAGGCACTTGTATGAAAAAGAAGTGCCTGACCTGGGAGGTATGATGAATGTGTTGTTAACAAATTCACTCTCAGGCCTCAGTTTCATTCACCTCTCGCTGACTTTAAGGCAGGTGTTGCGCACCCGTGTGTGTACTGTGACTTTAAGGCATGTGTTGCGCACACGTGTGTGTACTGTGACTTTAAGGCATGTGTTGCGCACACGTGTTTGTACCGTGACTTTAAGGCAGGTGTTGCACACCCGTGTTTGTACTGTGACTTTAAGGCAGGTGTTGCGCACACGTGTGTGTACTGTGATTTTAAGGCAGGTGTTGCGCACCCGAGTGTGTACTGTGACTTTAAGGCAGGTGTTGCGCACCCGTGTGTGTACTGTGACTTTAAGGCAGGTGTTGTGCACACGTGTGTGTACTGTGACTTTAAGGCATGTGTTGCGCACCCGTGTGTGTACTGTGACTTTAAGGCAGGTGTTGCGCACCTGTGTGTGTACTGTGACTTTAAGGCATGTGTTGTGCACACGTGTATGTACTGTGACTTTAAGGCATGTGTTGCGCACACGTGTTTGTACTGTGACTTTAAGGCAGGTGTTGCGCACCCGTGTTTGTACTGTGACTTTAAGGCAGGTGTTGTGCACACGTGTGTGTACTGTGACTTTAAGGCATGTGTTGCGCACCCGAGTGTGTACTGTGATTTTAAGGCAGGTGTTGCGCATACATCCTTCTATTGCTTCTGCTCTTTAGGCATAGTAATTGTGGTTAGTGGGAGGGAACTTGATGCTGGTAATGTGACCATGAAATAAAATTGCAGAGTGCTCTAATAAGATGATTGTCTGCACTCCCATTCTTCATTCTTGGAATTGTTTCACACCTCACATGGTCACATTATCGGGATCGAGTTCCCTCCCAGTAACCACAATTACTATGCCTAAAGAGCAGAAGCAATAGAAGGATGACCTCAAATGTCGTGTCTGCTTCGTGACTGACAAATTATACTTTGTCCAACATGGCAACAAAGCCCAGTGTTTAGTTTCAACAGCACCAACAGCACATTCAAGCGGTCTGGCACCTTGTTTCTTCTGGTCTTGTGTGGCTTCTTGACCCTCTGAAATGGTCAAATAGTCCAAAAGGTTTGCAGACCTCCAATCTTAAGGATACCGTAAAAATCATTAGATTCTTTTTTCTTTAGTTGACCATTGATTTCAGTGCATCTTAAGCTTAATTAAACTTTAGGAGAAAAAAAAGGGGAGACCTTCATTCCAGTCATTTTCTTGGCATGTCTCTTGAAATGATAAGAAGCCGTGTTTATATAATAACATTTTTGTTTTCTTTTTCTCTATTTTATTTATTTCAATTGCGCTTTTTATAATCCTTATTGTAGGGTTGGATGTTGGATTATAAAGGATTTATGAAATGTTTTTTGTCGTGTATCTCTTTATATGAACAAAACAAATTTGTTAAAAGTCATGATATTTTGCTGCCTCTAGGTTGATCATGAATGTATTATGTCATTTTTATTGGTGTAAGAAAATTAAAGTCTTTTCTGTGCATGGTGCACATGACAGCTTTTCTCTTTACACAAGAACATTTTGCCAGCTTGACACCATGTGATTTTAAAAACCGCTGACGGTGGTGCCTCTGTTGGTACTAGTCATAAATGTGGTTATTTGATACTGCTTATTACTATTTTATGTGACCATTTCTTATCAGAGTCACTCATCAACATAGCTGTTCAATGTTATAAAAATAAGATGTGATAAGTAGTAGAATATTCTTAACAATGGGGCCTACATCTGCTAACAAAATTTAATTTAGTAATATGAAATGGAAGTTTAAAGTGCACATATTCCAAGGACAGTACATCTGTTCCACTATATTGGCTAGTTGGAGAGCATTGATTTTTCTTTGAACTGCTCATAGCCGATTGTCTTTTTGTTTTCGCTGCAGATCATGAGGTTGCAACCTTTTGACTTACGGAGGAGACTGTACATAATCTTTAAAGGGGAAGAAGGTCTTGACTATGGCGGCTTAGCAAGGTCAGATTTGTTGAAAGATAAACACCACTGAAATTTGTGATATTTTACTTCTTTAACTTTTAACAAATGAATATCTGCACATTCGTTGTAGTTTATTCATGTAATAAATATTTTTTTCAGAAATCGTTTTTTTTTTCATGTTAAATTTTGACCTTTACCTTGAGACAGTATTAAAATAGTGTTAAATGAAAAAAAAGATAATTTTAAAAAATTACATGTGAAATATAATTTTAAAAATATATTTTCCTGGATATAAAATTTGTCAAAGAACTGGTTAATAAAAGTATCCTGATCTATTTGTACACAATGAAAGCTCATGTCTTGGAGTTTCTTTATTTTGAAGAATATTGATTAGTAAAGAAATTAGTTGTATTGAAATTATTGATTGTTTGAGTGGATGGCATGAAGTTATGTTTAATGTCAGTGATGAAATTGGCGACAGATATTAAATCTTTGTGTAAAGAGTGACTTTGTGTTTTGAGTAAAATATAAAATTTTAGTAAGTTTAATTAAACCACGGCTAAGATAAAAATTCCTCCTTGATATTTCAGAGAGTGGTTTTTCCATGTTTCACATGATGTGCTCAACCCAATGTACTGTCTGTTTGAGTATGCCAGCAACAGCAACTACAGCTTGCAGATCAACCCGGCGTCCAGCATCAACCCAGACCACCTGCAGTACTTTAAGTTTATTGGCAGGTTTATTGCTATGGTGAGAATCGAACTTGTCATTGCAAGGCTTATAACTTTGAACTGGCCTGAAGTGTGTAACACATATTCTGTTTTGGAATCTCACTAGGGTTGAAACACATAGAATCCCCACAAACACATAAGATAATGAAGTGAGGGTTACAAATGTGCAATTATTTAACTCCATACTAATGCTAAAAAAAAATGTGTTTACTGAGTCAAGCAATATCTAGGCCAGATGGGCTATTCCCCTATTGCTTTTTCAACTGCTTTGTTTCTGGTTGTATTAAAAATTAGGTCATGGTATTAATAAAATTGGAATAAAGTCTGATCCTTGGTGGCTAGTTTTAAGGTTGCCGAATATTATTTGCTTGTTTATCCTGCTACATGATTTTGAAGTAGGTTAAATATATTCACATATAACTTAGAATATTTCTAGGCATTTTTATTTTATTTTTTTGTAATGATAAAAATTATTCTGTTCTTTGAAAAATATCAGATTGTTAACTTAAAATAGACATTAGGTTTATCAAAGATTAATGCTTCTGAGAAGAAGAATTGTTTAAGCGTAATCTCTTAATTCACCATGCCTATATGAACAATATCACATCATCATTGATGTATATTTCTATTCTACTGAATGAACTTTGTCATCTCACTAATGATCATATTTCTCTACCAATTAATGACATTGAAAGAACAAATAATGCAAGAAAGAATAACTTATACTTTATCTCCAAGGCTCTGTATCATGGCAAGTTTATCGACAGTGGCTTCACGCTGCCATTCTACAAAAGGATGTTGAGTAAAAAGCTGACCATCAAAGACCTTGAGACCATTGACTCTGAGTTCTACCAGTCACTACTTTGGGTCAAGTAAGTTGTTGTGTAGTTAAATCATCATTTTTTAAAATCCTACTGAGATGAATTTAATTAGGTTGTAGGAAATAGGGACGCCTGATCACCCCAGTTACAGAAACGTATAATATTTTGGAAACTTCCCTCGTCATATATTTCCCGTTGCTTTAAAAAAATATATTTTATAATTATTGCCATGTACTTTTATTTTTATATTTGGCTTTATTTATTTCAAAATTGTCATTAATTATTTTTTTTAATTTAGAACTCAGAAAAAATTAATATGTTAATAAATATGTCGGTTTCATTGATTTTTAAAAAATTTTAACCCTTGAACTGTGGTCGGCCGACAAAATCGGCCGATAAAAACACGGTCCTATAGCAACTTCCAATCCAATATTTAACCGAAATCATAGCCACTTCCTTTTATTAATAATTAAATCAACTTCCGGTTCAAGCTGTTTCTTGATAACTTAACAATAAGTACTTTTTGATCGGAATTTTATATCGCTGTTTTTTTAAAGCAAAAATGGCGGAAGCTACGGCCGGGCCTTCATTGCGAGAAATAATAGAAATATTTTTTAAAGCTTTTTAGGAGTGGATTTAAGTGATACTGATGATGATTTTAACATTCCCCATAACATCTCACTTCAGATTCTTCTTTTCGTGAATCTGATACTAGTCTTAGTGATACTGAAGTAGGCCTACTGAGGCTACTGTTTGATTTCGAGCCAGGCCCCGAGGTTGGGCAAGGACTGACTGAATTTTAGTCACAGAAGCTACAGATTATAGATCATAACTAATAAATGTTATGGTTTAACAACCCAAATCAGTTCCACAGTTTCTTTTTAAATGTTTACTGGTCAATAATAACTATTTTGCCTGAGATTTTGTATTTTGTACTTGGTTTTAGCAGTAGTCCCCAGTTTCTTATATAAATGACCTAAAATTACTAAAATTGCTTTCAGAGGTTTAATTGCAATCAAAACCTTAGCAAACTATACATTTTCTGAGAGATAAATCAATTGGCTACAACATTTAGATTTTGTTTTAAGTGTATTTATAAAATTAATGATGTTATGAGCACTTGAAAGCAAGACATTTTGTCAATTTTTATTTTCTTGAGAACTCCAAGGTCAAGGACACTGAGCAAAAATTTTTTACGGGGTGGGCAATATCACCAACTTTATCCCCATCCATTTACCTTTCTAAAAATATATAATTATTGGGGTCTTGCATCAATATTTCTACGTCATTTAATGCAATTTCAAAAGGCACCCAAAAAGCTCTGAAAAGCTCCACTCCACAGAATGATGCATGCCACAGTTCGAGGGTTAAAGTACTTATTAATATTAGGAATATTTGATAATGTAAACAAAACAAGCTCTTTTTTTTTACTAGGGAGAACAACATAGAAGACTGTGGCTTGGAGTTGTTTTTCTGTGCAGACTTTGAAATTCTAGGCAAGGTAGAACAGCACGACCTCAAGCCTGGTGGCAGTGACATTAAAGTGACTGAAGAAAACAAGGAGGAATATTTAAAGTGAGTTAAGGGACACATTGAAATTACATCCGGCAGCGGGTGGCATAGATGAAAATGTCTGCATCCAGGAGTAAGTAAAATGCTGATAGAAATCCCCAGGTTATGAGCGCTAACCAAAAAAATAGGTAGTGCTTTATGCCAGTGGTCATTACAGTGAACAAAATAATATTAAAACGGAAAGTACTTGGATTTTGAAGTTATCAGTTTCTCTATGTGCTGAAATGAAATTGTCCAGGGGTGACCGTTTGTTTTCTCTTTTTGGCTTGTTATGCAAAAAAAATTTTTGTAGCTGATCTAAGTTCATTTATCTCAAATTTAGATTTGTTCTATATTATTCCATGTAGGAAATGAAAACTAAATATCAAATATTTGGTCCTTACCTTTTAACAATGAATGATACTATGATTTTGGTGTTTTAAAATACAAGTTTATGAATACTTTTTTTTTTCTTTATAGTAAATGATTATTTTCTAGTTAATTCATACTGTTAGCCAACATAATGAAATTCAGCATACAAAAATTACAGCTTGTCTTAACAATTTAAAAGAGATACAGTTGTTTATTGAGATTAAAATATATTCCATTCCTAAGGGTCATGTTAACATGAAAAGAATAGTAAAGAAATAATCAAGCAATTAAAAATTCCTAGAATTCATCAAGTTGCCTAGGTTTTTACTTCCTTGACAGGGTACACATGTATTCTTGATATTTTACAACATCCCCACGCAGTCATAGTTTTGGGTATAATTTGTTATAAAATATAATTTGGTAATGGGAATGTTCAATATATCTGCTATAACAGGAGTAAAAGCATGTGTACATTTTAAAAATGCCAAATGTTTTTTATGTGTTATGTAGTAACATTCAGGTGCTTTGGGCTTGTTGTGGAGGTTTTTAACATTTCATGATTTCAATTAGTTTTTTTTGGTCTTTTTAAATAAATCCTTTATTTAGGAAGTTAGAATTAAATGAAAAATGTTTTCTTCTTAAGGGAAAAAAATGTTTTTAGAAAGTTAGAGCTAAAGTGAAAAGTGTTTTTGCCTTTAGGGAAAGAAATGTGTTTTTATCCCTGGATAATTATTCATTTTTTATTATATTTTTTAAGTTTGATGACTAACTGGCGGTTCACCCGAGGTGTTGAAGACCAAACAAAAGCTTTCCTGGATGGATTCAATGAGGTTGTGCCACTACAATGGTTGCAGTATTTTGATGAGAGAGAATTAGAGGTGATTATATTTAATATTATAAAGCTCTGTTCTGGATCTATCTGCAAGCCGTACTAGTTTATTCATATTATTTGTTTAGACTTCATTCTTTATTTTAGACTTTTTTTTAAGAAAAATTATTTGAGTCAGCCTAAATGCAAATAGAATATAATATTTAATTAGAAAAACATTTTTTTTTAATATTTTAGAAAAATTAAAAATTTTCACTGTAATAGTTGCTATTTATATAAATTTAACTAATAATGAACTTGTTTATTATTTCAAAAGTAAACATTGGCAAGGTTTCTACCATTTAGGGCACTATGCTTGTGACACTTTGAAACTATTTTGGTCACCATGCCATGTTTCAGTTGATGCTGTGTGGTATGCAAGAAATTGATGTTGATGACTGGGAAAGGTCTACCATTTACAGACATTATCAACGCAACAGTAAACAAGTAGTTTGGTTCTGGAAGGTCAGCATTCTCAGTGTTAAACAGTTTAGAGCTGATAAAGCTTATTCAAAAGCTAGAATCAATGCTTGGGAATTAATTTGAATCTTCTATAAATATTATTTGATAGACATGACAGAGCCTTAATGGTAGTTTGACATTAAAGTACAATATGTAGATGTGAGAAGCTGTTTTTAAATAATGTTGATCACTGGTTGTAAAAATTGCCTGACATGTACAAAGAAGTGGGAAAAAAAGATACCATCTTCTATTGCAGAAAATGAGCTTCAGGTGTTTAATTGATATCTACCAGGCTATTGATACTAAAGCTAGGAAAAGATTTTTTTTCTTTGTAGTAATCCTTTCATGTCATTAGAAAGACTCTTATCCCATTTTCACAAAACCACATCATTATGCTAGTATGCACTTCTGGCTTATGGAACTCTTGTCTTTTCTCTGTTGCTACATTTTTTCATTAAACGTGCATACAAAGAATATGAAAAAAATATGTAGAGCTCTTGACTGTATTGTTTGTGTTTAAATAATTCACAAAAGTCATCTTACCATGCTATATATAGGTTAACTCATTCAAATTTAACTTCTCCTCTCCTTAAGATGGTTAGAGAGATAGACAACGAAAAGAGGACAAGACTGTTGCAGTTTGTAACAGGTACCTGTCGCCTGCCTGTTGGGGGATTTGCGGAGCTTATGGGTAAGTCTGTAGGAAGCATTTAAAATGAAAAATAATAGCAAATGTCTTCGCAAATAGTCCTAAAATAACGAGTATTTGAAATAAATATATCACAAAATGCAACTAAATTAACACAACAACTTTATCCAATTAATATTCTAAAATTTGATTATATGACTCCATTTTTGTATTTTCTGAACTAAACTTAATCAAACAAATTTTTGGACTGTTATAGTTTTTTTTTAAAGTAATCAAAGCTGATTTAAGACTTTTGGAGAATGGCATTAAAATGAATAATTTATTTCTTCAGGGAGCAATGGGCCACAAAGATTCTGTATAGAAAAAGTAGGTAAAGAGACCTGGCTACCTCGCTCACACACCTGCTTTAACCGCCTTGATCTGCCACCATATCGCAGTTACGAACAGCTCGTGGAGAAATTAAACTATGCCATAGAGGAGACGGAAGGATTCGGCCAAGAATAAACTAAAAGGGGGAAGTCATGAAACACAGGTGAATGTTAAAATGAAGATGGAGCTAACATGCTAAATTCAAACTTCATTCTTGATTTGTAACTCTGGTATCAAACATCAAAAATAATAAAATAATAAATTTGATAAGGAATGGTTTCAACATTTTAAAATACAAAATAGCATGTAGTGTCACAGTGAGCTTAATGAAACCAGTAGAATGTTAAAACTTTTAGTAAAGGAGCAATGATCAATAATATCCATATAATAAGTAAGAGGGTTCCATTTTTTTCACAGGTTCAACATTTTCCTATTTTAATACAATCAGAATGTCATTGTAGGTTAATAAATCTATTGGTAAACATGTCTTAGATTGTGGTGATTTCAATTCTCATTTATCTTGTTTATTTCTAGTTGACTCATTCACTAAACATTGTTTCAAAACTAGCCTAATTTCTGGATCATAATTTGAAAATGATCACCAAAGATTTCTAAACAATGTTACTCATGATTGTTTTTTAAAAAAATGTTTTATTTATAATGACACCATATCAAAAAAAAGTGAATCTTTTTATGTATTTGTATAATAATTGTAGCCTATTCTGTACCAAGTGGCCCTTCTTGAATGTAGGCTTAGGATAAAACTATGAGCTTTTCCTCATCCTTTACATCAGGGGTGTCTGACCTTTAAAGGCAGTTGTAACAATCTTATTGATGGATTAGTATTTGTACGACATGTTTAATATATCACATTAAAAGCTTTTACAATAAATTCCATCTGGCATGGTAACAAAATGTAGTGTTACCTCAAAGTTAAATATCTGAAACATAAATAAGAACGCTGTATATATAAATATTTTTTTTTTTACTAAATTGTTTTCCAAGGCTGTAGTTCAGCAATGACTGACTCACCCACATGACATCCCCGTTTACATTGTTTGTTTGAGAAACGGTGGATATAAACTAGTATTTAAAAAAAATGGTAGGAAAGAATTTTTTGTTAAAAAATTTCTGTTTACTAATTGCACTTTTAAAAGAAATGAAATTGGCTACGTATATCATTATACTTTATTTTCATAATTTTATTTTCTGAAAGGAATGTGTTGCCATTGATGTTATTATCCCCTATGTTATGTAATTTGTGTTTAGCTGTTGACAAAATATGAGTGACTATTCTTGAGAAAAATACAGTAGTTCAACTGTTATTTAATGTGCCAGAGTTTTATTTGGGTATCGGACTGTCATAACATGATTGGCTCTTACAGGCCTTACTGAAACTTAAAGCAGCTGTGTTTTGAAATGCCTGCTCCTTATTGCTTATCTTTAAGAACAGCCAGTCTTTTAGTCTTTGCTATCTTCTTCAATAGACAGTATAGGGATCACTTTATTGTTTCTTTTTAAACCATTCTTATTTTTAAAAGAAAATTTTTTTAAGCGTAAGGAAAAACATGACACATTTTTGTTAGTCTAATTTTAATGTGTAAGGAAAACATGCAGCCCATTTTTTGTTATTCAGGAGAAAACAGTAACACATTTTTGGTAGTCTGGGTTTAATGTGTAAGTGAAAAAATAACCAATTTTTGTTGGGTCTAATTTGAATGATTCGGGGAAAGTGGTGCATTATATTATTCATCTCCTTAACTCAAGGCAAAGACAGTTATATTTAATAATAAATGTTAAATTCTATATTATTGTCCTAGAGATAAAAATTTGCATACAGCTGTAAGAAAATGGCAAATGTTTTTAAAAAAAATGTTTATTGCAAATCCCTGCAACCTCTTTCAGTACAGCTTCTCAACCAAGAAGATACCAGATACAAAATGTATTTCATCAACCCCATCTTATTAATTTTTAAAAAAATTACTGGTCCATCTTGGAACATTAATTTTATATGACATTCGGTTCCTTCAATAGCATGCACTAATTTTTTCGCCCGTTGTGATAAAATTATATTTTATGAGCACCTATAACTGATAGAAAAGGAGACTATATTGAATTTTTCAAAGAAATGCAAAGATATTAGGAATTTTATAACTGAACTGTCAAGCAATTAATACCCAGCTGTTAAAAAGTTTTAAAAAAAACCCCACACTTTTCATTTTTGCAACAAATTTTTTTTCATTCACATTTGATCTGGAGAAACAAAATTGTTGTGTTTTCAATATTAAGTATTGTTATGAGTGTATTATGTTAATATTTATTTTAGTCAAGTATATATTTTTTCACGGGAGTTAAGTTTTCCTAACAACACAAACCCGCGCCCCCCCCCCCCCCCCTCTTTTTTATTTATTATTTTTATTTATTTTAACAATTTTTTCACGGGAGTTAAGTTTTCCTAACAACACAAACACGCGCACCCCCCCCCCCTCTTTTTTATTTATTATTTTTATTTATTTTAACAATTTTTAACTTTAAACCAATGAATAATTATTTCAATGGAGTTAGGCTCCCATGGCTGGCTGAAACATAAACATAGCCAATTGTGACAACTCGTGCGATTTTGTTACTGACCTAATATTTCAAGGCCTGTAGTGTTGCGTCTTTTATTTTCAAGCCTAAAATATCTTTAAATAAGTAGTGGAACAAGACATGTTTAGTTCATGTCATGTAAAGTGAATGATCAGTGCAACTTACTCATGGCTTGAACGCAGTCCCTCAAATAGTACGCCCTTATTCCCTTTCATCTTTTGTGATAAATGTAGCTATTGATCTGTTGACTTTTTTTTAAGAATAAGAAATGATGGTTGTAAAAAAAAAACATGTTTTGTTGAATTGTTATAAAAATGTAAAGCTTTGTGTCTTGATGGGAAAATGGGCTGTTGAAAAAATCTGTGTCTTGATGGGATGTATTTGCTGTTGAAAAAATCTGTGTCTTGATGGGATGTATGGGCAGTTGGAAAAAATCAAGTGCAACAAGAAGAGACACAAAACTCTACTAGTAGTAACATCCATCTGCAAGGAAGGATGTTATTAACCAAATACGAACGGAACATTTAATAAATTTGGGATTTTCCCATGGATGTTAGATATACCTTGAAACCTAAATTGTATTTTAAAAATTTTAAATTGTTTGTAAATATAATTTTGAAAAGAAATCAAATAAATTTTTTGGAGCAGGAAGGAACTATATCTACAGTGTAGATAGAGAAGGATTAGCTCCTTTGAGCTTTCAAGGGTAGTTAGTGTGGTGAGAAAGTTGTGTGTGATGTGTCAGTCTAGCTGTTTAAAATAAGATCCCCATGAGATCATTTTGGTCATCTTCAAATGGGCAACTCGGAATTAATTCCACTCCTTGTTTTTTTTTAACACATTTTGTTTTTTCATCTTCTGGTCAGGTCAGGAAACTTAAATAATCTTGACTATAAATTTTTTTTAAAATTCTTTAAATTTATTTGAGGTGGTGTGATAAGAACGGATAAGATGTTGGGCAATTTTTGTTATTGTTGTAGTTCTAATGTCTTACCTATTTAATTTGCATCTGTTTGTAAGACGAAAGCCTGTGTGTATTCTAGAGTTATCAAACTGCAGTGATATCATTGGTATTTTACATATTTAAAAAAAAAGTTATAATGAGAATATTAATGTTTCAACAAAGATCAAAACTATTTTTTTTAAAATGAATGTTAATGGTATAGAGTTAGCTCATATTATATTGTTAGTTTGAGTGAAATGTGTCGTCAAAATGTTATGCACAGTTGATCCTTATTGGAGGTGATGTTTTTGTGTGTACCCATGAAGGTCACCATTTTATATTCAAGGAAAACAGACAACTTTAGTGATAAATATAATATTATACAATGATTTAGTTTCTTATTTATTTTTAGTGCAAATGTTTTCTGGGTGTAAAAAATCCCCCTGGGAGTTGACCACTTTGATAATGATCTCCTATCGCATAAGATTGAGAAACCCTGTTAGAATTAGACCCCCCTCAACACCCATTATGCAACAGTTTGCTCTTCATTTATCCATAACAGAAAACTAAGCTGTGATGAATTGAATCTTTGGCTATTTCTTATGTAATGTGAAGCTATTAAATGACATTGAAATAACTGAATGCAGTGTTCTTAATGATTGCTTTTTGGATAACATTTACTTCTCTATCAGTTATCAGGTAATATTTGGTAATATGTGATCCACATCTCTTGTAGCAGACCATAAATAGGTACACTTGATTTTTTTTTAGTGTTTCTATTTTATAAACCATATCATTATTGAAAATAAATTCTTGGATTTCTCATATTTTCACATTTTTCATGTTCTTCCTACACATACTATCAATAATAACATTTGAAAAGTTCTAATGAAGAAGAAACATTTTCAAAATGACGGGGATTGCATTTCATTAGCACTCACAGAAATCTTGATGTATTTTTTAAGAAATAATAATAAAAATGACTGGCCTCAGTAATGTATACAAAAATAGCCTTGACAGTTTTCCGGAATCATAAAGAGACTGAAACTAAAATTTAATGAACTCAGTTGTTATAGAAATATTGATGTCAAAAACTTGTCCAATATTTTCTTCAGCCCATTATTTGATACTCACCAGACAAGCAGCAAAGAATGATTGTTGATATACCCAGGTGTAAAACAAAATAACATATAAAACCAGAAATATTTATATTCTGAGAAGCGCTTCAGTTTTATTTGGGAAATACTATACACACATTGAACAAAGGGCCCCCAGTAACAAATACTTGATTACTTTTAATTGGTTTCAGGTTTGTGGGGAGTGGGGTATACCTCATAAAATACGAATGTCCTCCCGGCATTTTACCTACGGGTACTAGATAAGTTCAATGACAGCTTGGGACCCCAGCTTGATGGCTTGTAGGTTAAGTCTCTGGGCAGCCATGACCCCCCCCCCCACCCCTTTTCATAGCTGTGTCATTCCCATATATTTATGTAGCTGGACGGATTAAATTATATTTTTAACATTTGTGTTTGCAAATGACAGCTTGGGACCCCAGCTTGGTGGCTTGTAGGTTAAGTCTCTGGGCAGCCATGACCCCCCCCCCCCACCCCTTTTCATAGCTGTGTCATTCCCATATATTTATGTAGCTGGACGGATTAAATTATATTTTTAACATTTGTGTTTGCATGATAATCAACTGACAGATTTTTAATTAGTTTACCAATAAAATTAGACGTGGACAAACTTGTGCTAGAAATAAAAAAAAAAATTGATTAATCATTGATGTATATGCATGATTTTTAGACCTGGTCTGTTTTATAAATGTCTTAGGATAATGTAAGGCAGGCCAAGATGATCATAATCAATTATTTAAGTTGTATGTTTTCAGTAGTCATATTAAAGGGTGTGATGTTTTAATAATTGCAGAGTGTACTTAGATCTTTAAAAATGGAATATACATTTTTCATCATCTTAATTTTTTTGGTATCTAGTTGTGTTTAACATGCTGTGTATTTTTCCTGGGGTTGGTTCAAGCCTCTGAATGCTTTCAATGAGCAATCTGCTATAGATGGACATTGCAATGTAGACCTGTAGACATGAACCAATGGGACTTTTTAACTATCAAAGCGTGCAGTCAAAGTATAGGATGAATAGCAAGAACTGAGACATGCTCTAATGCAGTGGTCCCCACCCTAAGGGCTGCACTTTTCACAGGCTCTGTGGCCACTCGCTCCCATGCAACACTACTCCATCTACTACAACACCGTTTACATTTAAAACATAGGGGACGGCTCCCCAATGAAAATTCATTTTAAAAAGTGCTCAACTAGTCAAAAAGGTTGGGAACCTTTACTCTAATGCCTGGGGATATGTTGAAAACATTTTTTTAAAATATTAATTTACTTGTGATTATTTTGAAAGAATTGATCAGCTCCAATGACTTATTATGGTAAAGAGACTATGTGTTGATTGATGCAATCCACTATTTGATGTATATGGCCTACCAATGATGCTGTAGACTAGAGAGCTGGATGGGTTTCTTCTTTTTTTTAAACAACTTTTGTTTCATTTTATTACTTTTTAAAATGTAATCATTTACACGTAGATTAGGTGGACATATATGTGATTTGGTAATATGCTCTTATTAGTTTATTTTTAAATCTTCATATTTTGCTACTCATCATACAACCGATTTTGCCTGGAAATTTCAATATATCTGGCCACAAATTCATCCATTAAATTCTTGTCCTTGCCAGTTCAGCTGCTATATTTTTCAGTATTAAAAGAAAAAACAAAACAAAAAAAACATCAACTTATTTAGCAGTTTCTCTAAGGTGTGCACCAACAGTTGAAGGACAATTTAGATTTTAAGATTGAAAACATCTATTTCAGAAGAAAGAAATGTTTATCAATAGAAAGCTCTGAAAATTAGTAAAAATTATTTTTAAATAACTTTAATTCAATTTTAATTATTGAGGAAATAACTTTTCAATTCTGTTAAATGTTACCATGTCTTTTTTCTTCTCCTGCAAGTAATGAATTATGTTGTTGGGTCCCTCCCAGAAAAAGGTTGTGCACCACTGCTTCTATTTCACATTATGCTTTATGATAAGCTTGAACGAATATTTAAAAAATTTTGTTGTTTCTTTATTCACCTTCGACACGACATTTCATTGAAAATTGTTGCTTTGAAGATTATGATGGATAAGTGATATGTACAGTATGGTAGCAGGTTTCAAATGATGTTGAGGTGTATGTTGATATCGGAAGTACTTATCCGTGTTGTTGATGAAAGGTTATGGTTTAATTTCCTGATGATGCAAACACGTATTTCCTTTTAAGGACTATATTTTACGTCATGCAAAATACGTCCTACAGAATGGAGTGGGCTAGAATATTGACAGGTCACAGAGTAAGGGAATCTGTATCAGGAGGGTCAATCTTTGATCTAGAAATGGGGTCTAAGTGAATATTTGATTGTCAGCCAAAGACCCTCCCCTCCAGCTACTGGTAAAATACATCACTGCCAGAGGCAATTGTTCCCACAATCCACCAATCTTTGTTCCAGGCCATGTGATGTCCACACAAACCCACTTTTGTTATCAATAGGATTCTATATGCAAGTATTGATTGGTCCATAGCCCACAGCTTATTTCAGCAACACTTTATTGTAAGTAGAACTATTTCTGACCCAAGAGTCAACCACCTCCAGAGATCAGACGGCTTGGAGCAGTGGCGTAGTTAGGGTTTTCCCCCCCCCCCCAACCCAAGAGTCAACCACCTCCAGAGAACAGTCGGCCTGGAGCAGTGGCGTAGTTAGGGTTTACCCCCCCCCCCTGGACCAAATTTTGTTGCCACCCCCTCCAAAAACTCTGCCAGTTTCTGCGCCTCTGTATAAAGATTGGATGAATAGAAACAAGTCACCAAAATTATAACGTAAAATGAAGAGGTCCACATCCGGATATGTACCCAAAACACTTGATTCACGGCTACTTATAGTTTATGCCATCTCCGCTATTACATTGCTGGCCACGTGCCGCGAATCCGCCATCGTGTCCGTCAACTATAAAATGCGTATGTTGTTGTATGTGTTGGTGCTTGAATAAATGTTCCTATAAGTTATAAGTACAGAATTTAATATTAATGCAATGGACATCACACAAATGTTTCTACTGTTCTTAATATAGCCAAGCTAAAAATGATTTAACAAACAAAAAGATGTAAATACAATTAAAGAAAAATGTGTCTACAACAATCCTAGTGCTTTGTTGGTTTGTTTCTCAGCACTGCAGCTCTTCTCTGTTGTCTTACACAGTATTTGTTTGGAATCCTTTAGTGGAATTATTATTTTTTTTACCCAATCGTTTAAACAAATAATAGTTTGTAACTGTTGGAATGTATTTTACTTGATCCTTTAAGTTTACAACAGTTGAGTGGTCAAATTTCGGTTTTACTTATGAAAATATTTGTATGTTTACAAAAATTCAAAAACCAAACAAGAGATGGTGTTCAAATGTCCGTCAACGCCATCGAATGATTGGCCAAGGTTTCCCAACCATTTCCATCTTCTGAACCGTCTATGAATGTTGAATCTTAAAGAAGTCATAATGTAGTTTAAAATTGGAAGAAAACAATTGACTTGATGTAGATTATACTCGATTGTGATATGAAAGCGTTAAAAAAGTTAATGTCAAAAACATAAATATTTTTTGGGGTGGGTATGTGTTTATGGCTAGAACTGCAACGCTGTGTTTCATAGGCGCGCAAAATAAAATTCGCAGAAGTTTGCACTAATTGCGTTTCTTGAATGCACATTTTGTTAAGTAACTTCAGTAGATGGGAAGTTCGCGCAATGCGCCGTCATTGTTTGACGGGTTGTCTCCTTAGTACATGTACTATGAAATAATGCTTAACAAAACAACACCACTGTGATTTAAGATAGTTCTCTATTTATTTTGATGAGAGAATCCTGATTGCAAGGGACATTCCAACACTATCATTCCCCGAACTCAACGATAAATTAGTTATCTGTTCTGACACAAGGGCGCAAACGAGACGTATACCACCACTGTATCTTTATCTATACTGTGAAACACAACTGTCTTCTTCTTCTATATCTTAAGGGCCCACGATCAATTTATTGATCATTTGGGCTCCTATGCATGTAGATGGGATTTGCAATGTTTCTGTTACTGGTGTTGATGAGGAAATCATGCACTAGGGGTTTGAAGGCTTGAGGCAATAGACACAAATGTGTCTAGTGTTGTCGCCTCAACCGTTCCTTTTGAAAGATTGTTCCTGTCCCTGATTGTCTCTTTATCTATACCATGGTACACCACTGTATCTTTATCTATACTGTGGAACACCACTGTATGTTATTGCTTTTATTACAGTGGTCTTATATTGCGCTGTACCACAGCCTAGTGCTGGTCTAACCGCGCTGCGCACAACATAATCATGACATAAAAAAATAATTAGATATATATTTTTGGAATTAAGAAAGAGCTGTGTAGACACAAAAATATATATTCACCCCACCCATCCCAGCACTGTTTACATGTCAAGCCATGGACGGCACCCAGCAGCGTCGTTTAACAGTGCGCAATATGTATATCGTGGAACACCATTGTATCGCAATGACTGAGGGACTCCATAAAATATGATCGTGCTAATAGCAGGTTAGCTTCAGTTGTGGGGTGTTACAATATTCACTGGCGAATAGCATTGGGACACTGTTTGGGATTTTTTTTTAAAGTAGGAAGTCGGGTGATTTCGTTTTTAAGAAAGGATTTTAAAATCTCTTGTCTTTAGTGAGCTATTTGGTGAAGTCAGACTAGTTTTAGTGGATTTTTAATCCTGTGTTGTATAAGAATAAATATGTTTAATTCTCTTTTTCTTTAATTAAAAAAAAAAAGTCCCATTAGAATGAATATGCGACCTTTAGTGAGCCACTGATGACGTCACAACCTTATTGTATCCGAGTTCCCACAACTGGGTCGTAAGGCTTAGAGCCGCCCGGAGCAGGCCAACGATTTTACCGCCTTCTTCCCGGTAGAACTCTGCAGTTGGCCGGAAATGCCGTTCCTCCACATAAATAAAATTAGTGCCGCCCGGGGCGCTCCGCCCCTTCCGCACCCCTTCCTACGCCCATGAGTTCGCGTTACAGCATGGCTCCATTGTATTTAGTGTGAAATAAAGTTGACTTTTTGGTGTGATCATTCTCTGAAAGTCGCACCACAACATCACCAAATGCAGTATTTTCTGTGTAACAATGTCACTATCGCTACACGCTGGCGCCGATTTCACTAAATAAAATTCTCGATGACTGCGCCTGCTGATATGAGATACGTTCACGAAAGGACAAATTATATTTATTTTCGGAGAGATAAGGGCATAATGGGTTGGTGAGTATCGTTTCCTCTTTCATATCATGTGTGGTCGTCATGGTTTGGCTAAGTAAACAAGGATCGGTTGACGTCA